ATATATATATATATATGTTTGCGTATACCTATAGACATACCTGATTATGTATACTAGAGTTGTGACTGCCGAAGAGATAACCTTGAAAAGTTCTGTACGATGATGTTAACAAATTACCGTTTAAAGAGGTATACGTTAGATTTTCAATTTTTTACGTTTCAAAAGAGTGCATCTCGTGCACTCTACGTTGCGTAATAAATATGTGGACATGTACCCTGAAGAACTTTGTTCTTGGATTCCCGTTGCCGCTGGATTTGCCAGCTGTGATATTTGCTTTAAGTTCCAGGAAGCCTCAAGGTTCTCTTGATCACAAAGAATAATAAGAGAATGACACAGGCATGTTTTGAAATAGCATTGAAATTTATAACACCGAAGCTCGATCAATACGCGTGCATAGAGCATCGCTGATATTATTTGTACATCGTTAAAAATCAAAAGATTCAATGTGAATTGTGATTGAAATAAAAATAAATTGCCTAAGATATATTCAAAATTTATTTATTACATTAAAATTCCATAAAGATTAGAGTTGCGACAATACGATCACAAAGTTGAGGTTATGCTTGAGCGGGATAATGGAAATTAATACTTAAATTATCTCTGACGCATGGATCAATATTTAAAACAAAAGCCTGTCAATAGTCAAGAAAGATTTATTCAGAAACTAATAAAATTCATTTTGAGTCTTAAACTTAGTACTTTATCCTGGCGAAATAAGAGTGAGTAAAAGGCGTAAGAAAACTGGATAATGAAAAAGCTATTAGCCATTGAAAAAAGTACCCAGAAAAGGCAGACACGGATATTTTTACTTTAATAAAGAAAATAAGTCAAGGTAAACCCACCAATCGGATAAACAAGACAAGAACGAAGTAAAACTTTCACCAAGCTTCTTCATTGAAGAAAGTAATAGTCCAATGTCGAGAAAAAGAAAGTCCGTAAAGTGTAATTCACAAAACTCTACCTGTATATATAAACAAAAACTACAAGAAGAAAGTAAATAAAAGAAAACCTAAGTAAAGCGTATAAAAGCGTTAAAAGATATCAGACTACGCGGAAGCGATAAGTGATAATGATAAAATTGGTTTGATGAACTTGAAAAAGATATATTATTCAACAAAATAAAAACACCAAACCTTATAACCCTGTAACAATGATCGGGCTTTCGAGTAATCCTAAGTTTGTTAATTCGCTGAAACCTGTCCACAAGCATCTTCACTCCTGTCATGTGATACGTGATAAGTATTAACGTGCGTTCCGTATCTCGCGAAGATGCGAACGCTAACCAAAAGACCAATTTGCCGGACAAATTGAATGTGATTTATGTTTACTGTCCGTTATGACGTTTCGTCTTTAGTAGAGACGCCAGCGCGCATGCGCAGACGCGTGATCCACTCCTACGCTGATTATCCTGTTTTATCTTATCCTTCGGACACGCCATTTATATACCCGGTGTCCTGGGTCAAAGTAAGAACAAAAAATCGTGTTCAACATCTGTGACTACGTGTCAAAAGAGTGCACACACCCAAACACACACACACACACACACACACACACACACACACACACATATATATATATCTAAATGTTAACGTTTAAGATCAGGTGAGAGTCCTCGGGAATCGAGCGAGCCTAACTGACACGACTAGTTTCGTTCTGTCGTGTAACGCGGCGTGAGTGGACGAATTTAAAAGAGTTCGCGCAACGTACCCACATTTAATTACAAATAACGCGGTGTTAAAACGAATTTCTGTTATGGATAATAAATTCAAGATATTTTGACTGATCGTTACGACGAAGAAAGACATTCTCGAGACTTCATGAATATTGTATGTAAAAATGTAATGACAGCGTGAATTTAAGGATTTATTAAAAGTATACATTGACGTTTTGAATGATTTCATTAAAAAGTAATAAGTGACCGATAATTAACTCCTGCATATAACTAATTAACTCCACAAAGTGAAAAATCTTTAATTTTATATTACTTATGTTTAACGAAAGATCTGATGTTTTGTCGATGGACTAGAGTGTAAATATTTTTTATTAAATACTAAAAGCAGCAAGTACCACGTGATTTTTATCAGGTAATAAAATAATTGTTTAAACATTTATATGGTTATAGTTATCATAAATAATTAGTAGAAGATTCAGGGGACTGTTATACATTGTAAATCATAGATGACTAGTCCCCTCGATTGAAATTCATGTCGGATGACGGTTATAGTTTAATATCCAATTCAATATGAACATTTATCAATGATAACTGTACATCCATTGCATCCGGTTAAAATAAGCAATTCTAATTGTTATGTAAATCAATATTCATTTAACGGTATGTCTGTAGTATTCATCCATAATATACGATATAACAGTTTCCATACTTCATAAATAGAATTGACTGTCTGGTTTGAGGATTCGCCGGAAGGTCAATATGATATAATAACGAGACTTAATTACTTAACCACGTGTCCGCAATGACTTAATGGCAGGTATCAATCAGTCTGGAATATCGTGGCCTTCGTTGACAAAAGTTTTTACTTCATTCATTCAGATATAATAGGGCTAACTTTATTGCTAAGGTTGGCTTGATTATACCGGGTTATTCAGCCCAAACGCATCAGCTGAATATGGTCTTGGCACAAGAATGAAATCGGCTTGTTAGCTTCAGACGGTACGCTTTGGTTGTATAATCCGGTATGCGCACAATGCTAATAAATTAACTTTTATAGTCAGACACAGACTTTTCTTAAAACGAAGTATATAAACGCCGTCTATTAGCTTGCTTTGTGAAGGATGCCGATAAAAAGGATAATTTTCATTAATTTTAATTGACATTTCTTTTCCGTTGATCGCATGTTCATCACGATGAACGTTTTAAAAATGAATACTATTTCTTAGTGATCAAAATTGACTTTTGATTTGTATAATTTTTTTAAATAATCATTCACGTTTACTTTCGACATTTATATCGGATGATCATTCATTTTTGAAGTCAACAAAATTATTTAATACTTAAAATTTAATACTAGACAATGCTGAGTTTAGCCTCCAGCTATAAATTATCCTAATTCAGTGACACCTCGTTGGCTGCTTGCTAATGATTATCGATAGGTATAATATATGAGAATTAAAATTCAGATTTGTAATGAACTTAAATCATCGAATCCCTCCTGCTGTTTTTCCTTCGTGTGGAATTGATTGGCAATCAATTAAAATAAACGCATTAGGGAACGATTCGCATAGCCGATTTATCTCTTGACCTGGACCTTCATTCATCTTTTGAGATAAAATAAGTATTTACCCTACTTCCCCAGACAACACACAATGTCGTAAAGTCGTCTTTAAGACGTCTAATGGCACAGAAGTTGTCTTTAAGACATCTTAGAGATGGCTTTTGAACTTATGTTGTCTGGGTCATTGGGTATTCGTACGGCTACAATAATATGCCATAAATATGTATACCACGGTAGCTTTTAAAAACAAGGTTGTGAAAGAAATACAAGGCAAACGTTGATATAATTGACATAAAATTCAATAAATACGAAAAAACGAAGAAACTTCAGAAAATTCATACCATAGATCCTCCTATTGTACTTAAGAGTCGATAAACTCTCTGTACGAAAATATTTTGTTCCCCACCTTTTATTATAATTCGAAAGAGCATTGAGCCTTCTTAATTCTAACAATTTAACCAGCCTTGACTGTAAATTAGTCTACCTTGCATTGTCCAGACACTATGAAAATCGTGTAAAACTCGGTCAAGTTCATTCTTTTTCTCGTTAATAATCGATTGATTGCATAACAGTGTCCTGATAATAAAAGAGTCCGTTATAAATGCTCGTAAATTTTCTGATGCATAACGAAAAGGAGTAGATTTCAAAATGTGATCAATGTATACTTTAACTGTCAGATAAAAATATTATTACATACTTGTAGAAAGAATATCAGCTTTAATAATCGGTGATGAAAATTATTAAGTAAACAATGTACATACGTATGTATTCGAATATCATTTACATTTTCTTATAGTACACTTTCGTTAAGCATTCCAATAATAACGTCCAAAGATACGAAATCGTTATTTTTTCTAGCAAGGCGAAGGAAAAGAAAAAAAAAGATGACAAAAGTGAATGTGTTAAGGCTGGTCAGGAGAAGAATACCCATAACAAGATGGTTACCTGCGTATACCACCCACGATGTCGTAAGTGATCTCGTGGCAGGTCTTACAATTGGATTAACATTGATACCGCAGGTAATAATTATAACTTATAATAATTAAAAGTGACATAGCTAATTAAAAGTTACGCTTAAGGCTATCGCATACGCTGCCCTGGCAGGCCTGGGACCACAATACGGACTTTACAGTGCTTTCGCGGGAAGTTTGGTGTACATATTTCTGGGCACCTGCCCGGAAATAAATATCGGTCCCACAGCACTTCTTTCACTACTGACCTTCACTTATGCCAGGTAAGTTAAATTAGAGTTCAAATTATATCGGAGAAACGGCGAGCGATAATTGGACGTTCGTGACAGTGAACATAATTAGATTACGTGTTCACTCTAGCTTACCGACCTAATGACGCTCCAATTACCCTCATCGTTTCTAAACCGATTTCACACGGAGACCGTGTACGTATAATTTTTCCGATAAAAAAACAAATAAAAAAAAGACCGATGACCATGAAATGACTGTCAATTGCCTTTTTAAACGGGACAAATCCTATCGTGTAATCGTTGGTGATTGAAAACAGTTAATGATACTAAACTGTCATAACATATTTTATCGTTTTAGAGGGGTGCCAGAGTATGCCATTTTACTTTGTTTCTTGTCAGGATGCGTGACAATGACTCTTGGCATTTTACGATTAGGATTCCTCGTGGAATTTGTTTCCACGCCAGTGGTGTCCGGATTCACATCAGCAGCGAGTGTAATTATCGCCTGTAGCCAAATAAAAGGTATCATCGGTGTGTCCATCAAGAGCGAAGGATTCGTAGAAACGTGGGAGGAACTTTATAACAATATTAATAACTCAAGGATGGCGGATTTAATTCTTTCCTGCTGTTGTATAATTTTTCTTCTCACGCTGAAGGTAAGGTTCCTAATTAAAAAAAGAATATGATTAGTTTCCGTTGTCTCCATTTTTTTTATATAACCAAACTGTGCACATATTGTAGAGAATAAAGGAGACTGAAACTACCAATAAACTAATGAAAAGAACCTTGTGGTTCCTCGGGACAGGAAGGAACGCCATATTGGTAATAGCTTGCGCCATCATGTCCTACGTTTTTGTATGTCGCACTGGAGAAACGCCTTATCTTCTTACTGGTCACATCGACTCGGGACTTCCAAGTTTTAATCTGCCACCGTTCTCCATTACTACCGGAAATGACACCGTCGGATTCCTCGAGATGTGTAAAACTCTTGGTACAGGCATCATCATTGTTCCCCTGATCTCAGTCATAGGGAACGTTGCTATAGCAAAAGCATTTTGTAAGTAAAAATCATGCGCCTCAGTTTCACTGGAAGTTATTACAACAAATTATGTGTAATTTATATATTTTTTGGCTTATATATTTATGCAATTAAGCACACGGAAAGACCTTGGACGCCACACAAGAAATTTTAACGTTGGGAGTCTGCAATGCGGTTGGCTCATTCTTTCATTCCATGCCAGTGACTGGATCATTTTCAAGAAGTGCTGTGAGCAATGCATCTGGTGTGAAAACACCTATGGCTGGTTTATATACAGGTATGTAGAAATATCTGCTAATATATTAGGAAGAAAATACATTATATTGTAATAGTATAATTAAAAGGAAGTTTTAACTTTTAGGATCAATTGTTATACTTGCTCTCAGTCTTCTGACACCATATTTTTATTACATTCCAAAAGCAACGCTCAGCTCTGTAATAATTTGCGCTGTCATCTTTATGATAGAAGTCGGCATGGTGCAACCTATTTGGAAATGCAGCAGTAAGTCTTTATTTTAAATAACAAGTGCAACATAGAATATTTGGCTTTGGTTACTAAGCATTGATTTTACTTACAGAAAAGGATTTAATCCCAGCATTAACCACATTCTTCGCCTGCCTGTTTGCAGGAGTTGAGTTAGGAATTATAATTGGCGTGGCTATAGATTTAGCTATTCTTCTGTACTTTAACTCAAGGCCAATAATGTACATAGAATACAGAAGTGTAAGTGTATCAAAGCTTATATTAAGAACAGTACTTGCAGACCGATGCTAACTTAATTCAATCTTAATTAAAGACTCCTGCACCAGGATACATTCTAGTCAGACCCAGCGCAGGACTCTTGTTTCCCTCTGTTAACTATGTGCGAAAACACTTAACAGAAGCAATTGCTGAAAAACATCAGAAGAGTGTTAATAATCCAAGAGCAATGACGAACGTCGTATTGGATTGTAAACATATAGACAGGATAGACTTTACTGCTGTTCAGGTAAGATCAAGAAATTATATTTTAATATACTAAAGATTATCATTAGTCTAAATACATAGGTAAAAAAAGGTTTGGTCATTAAATCATAAAATTGTTCAATCAGGGCCTGAATGCTGTGATAAAGGACTTAAAGAGTCGCGATTGTAACTTTGTGATGCTCCAAGCAAGACAAGAAATATTACAATGTGTTCAGTCCTTTTCAAATGATCCAATATTGACTGCGCACTCCGAAGTAGAACTCATTACCATCCTGAAACACCTTGTAATGAAAAATCGTACATTGACAGAAACAAGACTGAAAATATTGAACTTACCAAATGTCAAAAATAGATCTAACGAAGAAGAAACAGTTAGCACAAATCTATGATTTTATACGGAACAGCAGGAAGAATAAAGTACACAAATATTTATAAGAAAAAGATTCCTATGCGAAGTACCTTCAAATAAATGATCAAGACAACGTACATCAAACTTGTACATATTTAATAACACGTATAATATATTTATAAACTGTGAACATTTTCGCCACTGCGAACATATCTGTCAACAATTTAGAACAAAAAATATGTCATAATTTGGTTCGCAACCAATAATCATATTCTATAGAATGTTTTAATGAGAATAAAAAGAATAATATGAGGGTAACTAAAAAGCTATTCTATTTACTTTTTAAATTCGTTGCATAAATTCTAAAAAACTAAAAGCTAAGTCAAGATTATTAGATATTAAATCATGAGATTACATAAACTTAATAAGTGAAACTTTTGACTCAGGCACCTTAAGACGAACGCTGTATGACTTATACTAACTTAATCATAGACGACCATACATCTACGCATTCGTCGCCAAGGAACTTAATTACGTAATATAACGCATACATGAAATTGATTTTTTCATAGAGAATTTTCACAAAATTATAAGAAAATCCATCCATCATCTTATTAATTGTACCGAATTTGTGATCGTGAATAGCAAACCCGCTTCCTTATGATTTTTGGAAATCATAATATTATTTCTAAATATGTTCATAGCATATAAGACAAACAGGAATGAATAATAACTCGTATATATATTATAAGTAGAGGCACGCAAGATGTCGTAAAAAAATATAATTATTCATTTTTTAGCATACGAAAATAATTATTGTTATATTAATACTGGCAGCGTTGCCCTAATAGTTGTAATGACAACAGGAAAAATATAATGACAATAATTAGTCCACAATAGTTTTATAACGCGCGAAGGGACAACATTAATGTTATTATAATATGGATAAAAAGTATATTAAGATGAAACGCTTGCCATGACTTGGAAAAACGGTTTATATGAAAAATCTATAAGAACTAAATTATTAATATGACAATTTATGAAATTGTCTAAAAAAAATTGTTCTTGCTAGAAAAATACAAACTTATGACTTAAGATCTGAAGAAAACTTACTGTACTTCTTATTTTCATTTGCTTCAAACCTCATTGCTACGATGCAAATCTCTGACTCTTTTAAAATACCCAGTTCTACTAAGTCTGATAATACCCAATTTTTGGCAAATAATAAATCACATATTTGTGTTTGATTAAGTTACACTTTATCTGTCATGTTTATAAATTCTTTGATTTTAAGGGAAAACCCCTTCCTCGGCCAATACTGCGTATTGATAGATTTGGACATTTATTGCCTGGATCCTTATTGGATAAAGGATATGAATTCTGCTGGGCAATATTATCAATTCCCAATCGCGGATCAATATTCGATTGTGAATATGACTGATATGAATTTAAGGGGGTCGTTGAATCCTTACACGTATTGTAATTCATGCAACTTAAGGGTGATATCATCGGTGGAATATCATACTGCTCATTACTTGAATTATCGTTTTGCGAATTTATCGCAATCGAATTACTCGTGATTTTCATAGTACTGGAAGAAATGGGTATTCTGGCCATTTCCAAATTCGAAATGGAAGTTTGCACAGGATTCGTAGAATTCATTTGAAATTGGTAAGGCATACTTTGAGTATAATCCATCATATTAGAATTAGGGCCTGTTTGATTATAGTAATTTAAATTTCCCGCCACATTGTTATTAAACTGATTGCCTACTTGTGCATTTAACAGTAACGTCATTAAAGTCTGCGCATCTTGAGGAAGGTGTGGAAAGTTCGGCATAGGATTCGCTTGAGGAATATCGCGAATTTGATCTTTGCTTGCGTGAAAACTGGGCAAACGAATTTCGAAGTTATCCACAATTACCCTTTTTTGTTCGGACGAAATTTGATTATCTTTTTCATAATCAGTTCCAAGACTCTTATAACCCGGCGGGGGTTTTGTACAATTTTCAATTTTCCCACGTTCGTTAGTTGCATCGCTACGTGGAAAAAAGTCATTATAATAATGAGTAGCTGGTACTTCCGACAAATTGACACGTTCCCTTAAATTTTGACTGCTCATCATCTGAACGCTGTTGTTATCAGTGTGATAAGATTGACATTTCAGATCCATCAAAGGATTTTGTACACTTGCAAAATTTCGCATAAGATTTTGACTGTTTTGCGCCAGAAAAGTCAAATAATCCGACTGACTTATGCCGGTAGAAAGATTTGCTTGTGCTCCACATTCTTGATACATATTTTCACGTTGCATACTTTGTACGGGTACATTTTGATATGGTGAAAATGGTGGATGACCATTAGGAAACGTAATGTTGGCAGTGCGCGGAAAATATGCAAACTGACTGTGTCGTGACAAATTTGAAGATAAATTTTGAGTGGGTGAAAATCGATCTGGCATAACTTGCATGGCACTTACTGGCACTTGCATCAATGTATTGGATGATTGCATATTTGGTAATAAGTAATTTGGGTCAGGAAATGCTGGACCAGCTAAATTGGCATATTGCGAATTTGATAATGGAGAAATTTCTGACATTGATTGAACCGTCTGAGATTGAATATTCGGATAATTATAATTCTCACTCTTGGTACCTTCGCATTGCTGTTGAAGATATTGCAAATATTGAAGACACTGAAGTTCTTTCAAATTTCGCGCCGATTGTTCAGCATAATGCTCTGCAGACAATGCGATCTGCTCATGGATTGACGATGAGGCCATTAGTAAATGATTGACTTGCGAATTGGGCGAATCAATTATTTGTTCATGGCTATCGTTAAGTACACAAGACTGTGCAGAATGTTTACTAGAATCGTTATTGACATTATTGATATCTGTATGATCTTTGAAATTCGCATCACTTTTCCCTTCAGTATTATTGATCGATTGATCGTTTGCTGCTTCAATAGCGAATGAATTCTGAATCAATGAATTATTGGAATTCTGGGTGGAAGGCATGAGTTCAGTAGTCGTATCCGGTACTACCGAAGTCAACGATTCATCTAATTTAGACTTTTGAATACGAGATACTGACAAATTTCCTTTCGGTTCTGGAGTAGACGTGGAGCGTTCAATTTCTTCTATATCGTGTAAAAACTTAATCTTTTCGGAATTTATGTCGCTTTTCTTCATTTTTGATTCTTGTATCTCATGGGAATGTTCAAATTTCATTCCGCTATTCATATTGTCAATTAAATCCACGCTTCTTTGATTATGTGAATCAGCAGTATCTTGTTCTTTAATTTTTTGCATATTCGCCCCAGTACCTCTAATACTTCTTAGTTCACCATGAATTTTATTGCGACTAGAAAATTCATCCCGCTTGATTTGACGATTCTCTGAATATTTATTGTTACCTCTAGAATATCTAAAGTCCGTTGGAAATGAATAGGAATCAGAACCAGATTTTTTAAGCTGATTAGATTCCTGATATCTATTAGTTTCAGGAATTTGATTGCGATTAGAAAATTCATCCCGCTTGGTTTGACGATTCTCTGAATATTTGTCGTTACCTCTAGAATATCTAAAGTCCGTTGGAAATAAATCGGAATTAGAATCAGATTTTTTAAGCTGATTAGATTCCTGATATATATTAATTCCAGACTTCCTAAAGAAGCCGTAGTCACTAGGCTTAACCATTTTTTTTGTATCTTCACTCTTCTTTGGTAGCTGTCTGTTTGAATTTTGATCTGGAAGTTTTATTAAACCGAGCGCGGCGCCGTGCTCTTTAAAATATTCTTGTTCCTTGCGACGGGCGCCTCTTCCCATAAACAAATGTCTTTCTGTATATCCACCAACTCGACCATATTTATCTATCTTCACAGAGGTGTCAGGTCGCGAAACAAGATCAGATTTTTCACTGGATATTTGCATATCTTTTGATTTTGTTAAATCATCTACATCATCTTTTTTTAGAGATCCTGCACCTTCCGTACATTTATCATTGCTATTCTCCACTGAAATCTTAACAGAAGATGGTAGAATTGGTTTTACAGTACCTGGTTTTCTTTCCAGATCTTTATCTTTGCAGGTTCCGCTGCTCGAAAATTTAGCTTGGATTTCTGTAGCTGAAGAACACTTTATATTGTCATTGTTGTTGCTATCATACAGATTATGCGAAGTCTGCTTCTCAGTAATTTCTTCTAGATCCGGAAGATTTCTCTTCACAACTCCCCTATTGTACACATATTATAATAGTTACCATTTAATTATATTTCTTACAGAGTAAGACCAAGTTCACAGATAATACGTACCAGCCTCCATCATCGTCTGAATCATCATACAATATGTTAGATGGATTTTTTTGTTCATTAGTTTCTTTTCTATGATATTCCAGTTGAGCTGTTGCAATGCTTTCTGCTAACGCCATACTCAGCATCTCTTCTTCGTTCATGCACTGAACTGTTGTCGATTGAACATTAGGGAATAGTACATCTACAACACTGGTATTCTGATTCCAAGGATTTACAATATCGCTTTGCACTGGGTTCGTATTAGGAGTCATACTTTGATTACTCTTCTTGCGAGTAGGCACTGCAGACTTTTCTGTAGTTTCTGAATGTGTGGACTGTACATTATCTGAAGTCACGTTGTCTTGTATATTGTCAATAATCTTATTGGGTTTAGGTTTTTTCTCTTTTTTCTTCTTCGTCGACTTCGTTCCTGAGAAGTACTCGTCATCCTTCTTTGATGGTAAATCTTTTAATACATGTTCTGCGTAAGATTTCCTAGCAAAAGACAAACTATCAATATGATTTCACATTGCATACAAGCAACTATAAAAAAGCATATTAATTAATAAATTAATGAAATTTAAGAAATGAAGAAAGAAAACGTACTCCATATTCAACCAGGGATCTTGTTTAAGCCATTCCATCTTATGGATTTTGCTAACAATATTAGAAGAAGTAGAAGCCAACGCTTCTTTGCTGTTTTTACTTTTAGCAGCCATTTAATCCCTTAAAAACAAATTAGTGCACAGATTATGAAATAGAATATAAAATTATAAAAAACAAATTACATCTGGACAAATCCAACAAACGATGGAAAAACTGAATGAATCCAATAAAAATTTTAGAACATTCAAAACCTGTGTGAAAAATTTTCTAAGTGAATGATAAATAGATATAGGAACCTAACAACATACAGTTATCAATTCTTCGAAATTTATAACTCGCAAACTCAACGACACCTAATATCAAGTTACTTAAAACAGTAAAGATAAACTTCCACTATAAACCATATAGGTATACACGAATTAATTCCTTCGTTAATATTTTCCCACTATCAACGTACTATCTGTAAACAAATTGACTTTTAATAACATTTACAAACCCATCAAACATCGAAACAAGGACAATTACATATATTTAGACAAGACATGGTGATAATGAAACTGATTATGATGATGCTTACAAAAAGCCGGTGCGTTGCAGCGCCTAAGTATCAAATGAATACTTTCATATAGAGTAAAAATAAGCATACCTTTTGAATCGACTTTACAGGAATATTATAAAACTTAAAGTGTCGTATTTCAACAAATATTCGTTACATAAAACAATTTAAGAACAAACATCAATTCCACACGAATCGCGTACCGCCATAACACTATTTCATTATACAGCAGTTGCTAGAAAACGTGTCTAGTAGAAATTAAAATTCCTCTACTTTTGCACATAGATTTATAACTTTTGCGAACTCAACTAAGGATCACGATACTACTAAACATCCAGGGCAGCTCAGATATACTCTTAGACTGCTGGTACAATGACTTTTATGAAAGAAACAGGACAAAGGATCTGTTCTTACCAATTGCTTTACGATTTGAATTGGAGACCATTGATATCAGCAACAGCACAAGAATCTTATTGGCCAAGATTTTGAAGCAATGTGAATTGGACTTAACACGCAGCGCTACTAGTGGCAACTATTCCAAATTTAGATATTCTAACTGTAACAATGCCGGTTACAGTACGTCAGTCGATGGCAGTCGTTGGTCCTGGTTGGTCCTGTTTCATATAGGATTTACGTCTGTCCGTTATTATTTCTCGTAATTGAAATTGGATAAAAATGAATCTGCTATCAATATTGAGAAGCTAACGACATGTAGGTAATAATATGCTTATATGTACTCGATACAGAATCCTGCATGCTGCATTTCATTCGACAGAAGGTCAATTAACTGCTGGCCTTTATGACAAAAATCAATAGCTTCTATTATATTTCCACGTATTCAGTACGTGCATCTGTGCTTATTACAGTTTTATAAGAAAATATTTAATCTTTAATAATCGTACAATTAATTCCCATTAACCTAACTGATTGTTGCATGTATCTGCACGTTTAAAATAAAGATTTTATTGACACAGTACACTGGCATGCTGGCAGATATTCATTGCTGAAAATCTTAAATCACGTTATTACTAGAAAATGTTTTTTGGAAAACGTGACCTTTTAATTGACAAATTGTTCATCCCCGTAAAGATGGTGAGAGAATGTCAAAGGGCGTAAACAAATATAATTGAAAGAAATCAACGACTAACGAAAATCAATGAACGTTTATTAACTCGTTTGTTATAATCGTACAATTTTCTTCTTACAATGATCTTTTTCCCACGGCGAATACCATTATGGTTTACTCAATAATTATTATAAATACGAACGAACAAAGGAAATCACATAAAAATGGCCGCCTCACGTATCTATCCTGGTTAACAATAAAATCCAAGGAATAAGCATAAACTACGTGTGACCTAGAAAGGTGAAATTGTCTCGTTCGACTTTTATGCAACTGACATTGATGTTTTATAGCAAAAGAAATGTTTTAAGAAAAAAGATAGCCATGGTCATACGAGTAACAACTAAGAAAGCCAATGATAGCAAAATTGAATTCTCTTCCTTATTATCATTGCCATTTCGACCATGAGGGAATAATTAAAACAAGCAAAAATGACAACCTCCATTATACATATATGTTGCTAAGTGACTCCGCTCTTATTGATCTAATTATTCCATGTTACAATTAACCCAATAAACAATCTGACACCATGACCATGGACAATAGAGTATTGATTAAAAATAAAAATCATATCCTTATCAATTAATCCAGTTTAGTTTTATGCTTATTTTTACATTATATAACAGCAACATTTTTCAAGTCCTACAGCATTCGTGTCAAATGCATACTCGGTCCACCAGTTTTTTAAATAAAAAAACAATGGATTCTTTAACAAGCCATAAATAACTCTACAAAACCTTGTTACAAAGTAGGCATGTATGTACATGGTTTTGCACTAAAATATATTTTATCATACTATTTTAGCATATTTAACATATATGCCGTGTAATTCTATCCATATATTATTTACTAAGCATTTTATGCGAACTGCAAAAAAAAGCAAATTGAACTCGTAGATCGATTGTAGATACGTGCATGTCGCACATAGTAATAGCATTACGTAACGTTTACCTCAGCAAATGCATTTTGTAACGGTTGCATCTCGACCACATAAATTCCATATAGCAAACGTGTAAAAGTTACATAAACGTGACTTATGGTGGGATAAGAAGAAAATATAGAATATTCAAATTCATAAATAATTATCAGAGTTATAATCTGAATAATTCATTAGATTAAAACGACATATGTAGTATCTACGTGATATAACAAGACGTTAATGTTTGGTCATTGAACTGAGAGACGTGTATTGACACACCACGTATTGTTTGATTTTCTTTCTACGTTTGACCGAAGTTGCCTTGAGAATTTTTGGTGGTAATTGTTTTTATCGTGCATCCGGTAGGTTTACTAGTTGTAAGTTTTTACGGGTTTCGTAATCTTGGCTCAACTATGATTTTGACTGTTAAACTGTATATGAATTTTTGCTTGGTTACAGAGTGACGCTGACTGCTTCGCTCGATGCTCGTAAAAACTGTGAAGGCTGTATTAACTTTTCCCATGGTTGACGTTACTTGCCTACTGGTATCTTAGTGCCCCGTATATAAAGAACCTCAACGGTACGAGTGCCTTTCAGTATGCGGTATGGAGCGCACTACGATTCACAAACGAAATAGATTCAAGTATTCTTCATTGTTTGACTTGTTTATATTCGTGCCTTGAGTCTCGCGTGATGAATGACGTGAAATTTTGAAGACGCTGCGAAAGTGTACGAAGAATAATTTTACGACTGGTTTTTCATCGAGTGAAAGTAACATCGGATCTTCTTGTCCGTTGTACGTCCTGTTATTAGGTAATTATGATTGAATAGTTTATTAATTTTTTGTTCTATCAATTAACACTTATATTTTCTTTGAAGTCTTTCTTTTTGCAATTGATAAAAAAATTGTATTCGTACAACCTCGGACGTCATTTATCGAATTAACAAATTATTATTAAAGTTATTATCGGTTTTATCCAATCGAACCTGTCCCAATATATTTCAAATTTGAATATACTCTAATTAGGAAGCAAAATAGCATTACAGATAGCACGAATCGTTTGAATATCTTTTTATTTATTTCTCAATTAATTGTATTTCTTTTTATTTCTCTTATTCATATTAGCACCTAGCCATCCGCTTCACTCGACAGAGTTCTAACGAGTACAGTGTTAAGACATTGTGGAACCGGCAATTTTAACCAGAAGCTGTCTCATGGCACCGGCTATTATTTCGTAATTGAATGTGGAAGTGAAATAGTTAATGCAAGTGCAAGCACCGCCAACTCGTGACCTATCAACAATGTGTCAAGTGGCCTCCGGCCAAAATTATAGCGTGCCCAAGCGTGTCCACGTAAGATTATCACACGGAAGCGTAACTGAGATAGCAAAGCATACTCGTCTAATAATTGTGCCTACAAGAGCTGCTGTATGTACATACATTTGCTGTGGATCAATCAACTAGTAATTTAGAGCCACCATATAGAACAAGTTGTATGCATCTTTTACGCATCAATTGCCAAAACCTTGAAGACCCAACTGATGTTCAAGAACCTAATACTCTGTTGCCAAGGAATTACAAGCAACTGTTGCTGCTGAATTGTTTGCTAGAAAATAACAGCAACTTTATTCCAGTACTAATTTTTAGACTGCTAACTTTTATCACGTTGTTAGGACTGACGTAGTTATGTATTCGGTAATTGAACAATTCGCTAACAAAATCCTGTTATGCATTTAGAATTTGTGTTTTCTTAACGGTTGCTTTCAGCTTACTAGCAAGATGTGGTTATGCTATGCTCATAATACAGTATAGAGTAGCAAATGGTTACCAGCGATAGAAGAAGAGTATTGCCGAATGATATTTGACTGTGAAGTTGTCTAAATTTTAGTTGTTTTTAAGTGAATTGAAATCCACTAGGATTTCATTAATTTTTCCAGTAATAAGTTCACCTGGCTTCCTTACTGAGAGTTTAAAGCCCGTATTCAGAACTTGCTTTTAGTGCTAATAGCGCGCTTTTAAATTTTTTCTTAGTGACTTTTAACTACAAGCGACCCTGTTAGTGACTTTAAGAGCGAGTTGTGAATACGGGCTTAAGTGTATAAAGTATTCCAATTCGAAGAAAAAATGTTGACGTATGATTTCCTCGAAATCTAAAAGAGCCGCCTGCTGTATGACGAAAATAGCTTATTGAAACGCTTAACGCAGATTAATGCGCTATAATTAATTAATGTGTTATAATCAAGAGAATTATTGAACAACTGATCACTGACGAAGAGCTGCATTTTTAATAAATTTTTATCATTAAAACGATCGACTGATTTTTAAATTTTAATTTCTTCATAATACATCGGGCCCTGTTCAAGGCTAGCTTAACTAATCCTACTCAATATATAATGTTGAGATAAACCGAATACCATAACTGATTTGGCACGTTTTTATACGTAAACACGTAAGAAAAACATAACAAGGTGTAAAGCAAGAAAACGGTTGTAGCTCGTCGTACGACGTAACCTATAAACATCGATAAAAAAGAAATCACGTACAGGCATTATGGGTAATGTCGAAAAACTTTAGATCATTCCGCATGAATTATTACGTGCCCATGAAATGGGTTCGCGTGTTGATAATTCCAAGGTCCTCTCACTGTTTCATACACACGTGGTTAAAAATGTTAGGTAATGAGCAATTTGAAATAAATAATACAATTTTTGCAGTGTCATTAAAAATATCCAATTCCGCAGTGCGCCTCGGAAATCTTATTCAAGTTCTGTTGGTCTTTTATTATTAATACATACTCTTACGTTCAGGTAACATTATCCCTTCTCGATTTGTACTCGTTATTCAACTTTTGATTAATTAAATCGACCTCAAATTACATACTGGATACGTTACGTGATTGATCATTGCAGATATGCATTTATCGTGTTATTTTATGTTGATGTAAACAAAATAAAATACGTCTGCCTTTCTTTTTGCAGGTGATACACGCATAGGACGTCGAGTATAGCGATGAAACTTAACGAAAGATGGAAAGATCGTTCGGTCAGGAATTCGGCGACGAAATTTATTCTAAAACGAATACCGATACTGTCATGGCTTCCGAAATACAATACGGAAAAAATGATGAGCGACGCAATTGCTGGTATCACCGTAGGACTCACTGTTATGCCGCAGGCATTGGCTTATGCTACTTTGGCTGGACTTGAACCACAGGTAATTAATAAATTTTAGTGATTACTGTAATTATGTATTTTTATGTATACCAAATTACATTACAATTGTTTGCAAGTGTCCTTTTGTTGATATAATTATGAAATTAATGTTGATATTAATTTATGGGGATCTTCGATTTACCTATTTCTTGACAATTTCGATTTTCTTATTCCAGTATGGACTTTATTCCGCATTTATGGGCGCCATTGTTTACGTTTTTCTTGGATCCTGTAAGGAAATCACCATAGGGCCTACAGCATTAATGGCTCTGATGACTCATCAGTACGTTCAAGGGCGGAGCGTGGATTTTGCCATATTACTTGCATTTCTCACAGGCTGCCTGCAATTGCTTATGGCTTGTTTGCGATTGGGTAAATTTTTTACTTTATTTCGATCTGTAAAAATGTATGGGATTATGTTCGAAACGAATTTTGTATTTCTACAGGTGTACTCATTGATTTTATATCTGTACCGGTGACTGTTGGATTCACTTCTGCCACTTCGGTGATAATTGCCGTTTCCCAGCTAAAAGGTCTTCTAGGTCTCAAGGTCTCGTCTTCGGGATTTCTAGATACTATTATCAAAGTAATCACGCACATTGGCGACACGAGGGTCTGGGATGCTGGAATGAGTTTCTCGTGCATAACAATCCTTCTGATACTGAGGGTAAATAAGAAAAACATTAAATCTTTTCACAAGTGAAATATTGTGTAATGCTCATTTGTTAAACAGAAATTGAAAGACATCAAATTATGCAAAGAAGGACAGAAGCCAACAGAGAGGCAAAAGACCTTAATGAAAGTAATGTGGCTGATTTCTACAGCGAGAAACGCTATTATCGTTATTGCCTGTTCTGCTGTTGCTTACAAATTGGAGACTTCCGGTTCCGGTTCGCCATTTATTCTGACGGGTCCTGTAAAATCCGGTTTGCCTTCATTTAGTTTCCCACCATTTTCAACTCAGGTGAACAATAGCACCGTGAGTTTCATAGAGATGTGCGGTGAGCTCGGTTATGGCATCTTCCTGGTGCCAATAATTGGAGTCCTGGGGAACGTTGCTATTGCGAAGGCTTTTGCCAGTGGGGATAACATTGATGCTACGCAGGAACTTATTACTTTGGGTGTCTGCAATATTCTCGGATCTTGTGCCAGTGCAATGCCTGTTACTGGTTCCTTCAGCAGGTCTGCAGTTAATCATGCAAGCGGTGTCAAAACACCTATGGGTGGACTTTATACAGGAATTCTTATCTTGTTGGCACTCAGTTTGTTAACGCCTTACTTCTATTTCATTCCAAAAGGTTAGTTCTTTATACAAAATTACTTGAACAAAATAAAATAAATAGCTAAACATTGATTATATTGGACACTTTCAGCATCATTGGCAGCAGTAATCATTTGTGCTGTAATATTCATGATCGAGTATGAGGTGGTCAAACCCATGTGGAGATCTAGCCGAAAGGACCTTATACCCACCTTTGTCACTTTTGTACTATGTCTCATCATTGGTGTTGAATATGGCATCCTGGCTGGTGTTGGGATAAACTTAATATTCTTATTGTATCCATCAGCACGACCAATTATCAATGTAGAAAAATGTGTTGTACGTAAGAAAATAATTAATCCAAAATAATGGTCTCGATGTATACTAACTTTCATTCTAATTATGCATATAGACTGTCTCCGGAGCAGAGTATCTTCTGGTTACGCCAGGAAACAGTCTTTACTTTCCTGCAGTCGATTTCATAAAACAATCTGTGGATCGTGCTGGGAGAAAAGAAGGTTCTAGTCAATTACCCGTTGTTGTTGATTGTAGATACGTGTTGGGAGCTGACTTTACAGCAGCGAAGGTAATTAGATATAAATGAAAATAATTAAATTAATTGTTCATACAAAACTGATAAGTTTTTTTTTTAATTGAATCTTTCCAGGGTATAGCTGCTCTTATAAACGAATATAACAATCGAAAACAAGGTCTTTACTTTTATAATCCACGATGTGATGTTGTTTCGGTCTTACGAGGAGCTTGTGGAGAAAATTTTCAATATGTTTCAACCCACGAGGAATTATCATACTTATTATATACGAGTCCAGGTATATTATAAGAAACAATCATATTTAATGGTCCTTTTCTTCTGTACTATCAGTCATCTTTTTTGTTCATATCTTTTAGATCAATCTAGACAACTTCTTGAAGTGACTCGCGAGAATTCAACTCAACCTTTGACAATGAACAACTCTAAGTTAATTCATAGAGTCTCGTCAACTCATGAACTCAGTGAAGTGACAACAACGTTGTTGCAGCATGCAGCAGCCAGTTGAGAATGTGGTGTGACCATTTTTTTATAACGACAAATATAGCAACAATTTTTTTACGCAGATCCTGTCACGTACTTACATTTCTTCCATTTAATGACAGGCGGATCATTAATCTGAAAACGATCACGCGGGAAGAGCTATAGACTTCGGCAGTTAAAAGTTAAAGCTAATAAATAGAATTTTTTTTATTAACTGTACATTTTTCTCTACCTTGACATGAAGCTTTTTAAACGTAATCTACACAAAAAAAACCTACAAAAGTGACTGATTCCAACAGAATATAAACCAATTTAATCTTATTGAGGCGTAGAACTTACTCCATGCGCCTATTAACATTATATGTTCCCTAAGTGACCACTTTTGTGAGAAAGTTTTTGAAAACTACTTTCAAAGTTAAGCAATTGAAATATTGATTGAACATCATGAAAAAAAGTGAACAGGTCTAATATATGCATTACAAAAGATATAATTTCGTCAGTACAGTGGCCTCACGTTAAATGCGCGACTACGAGGGTGTCAGGGAAAGTAAGTTCTAACAAATACTAAATTATAGGGTACATACACCCTCACTAGACTCAACCCTCCTACCAGATTCAATATCCTCTGAAAGCTAATTTATTGACAGTCGTTATTCTGCGCGAAATATTTAAACAAGTTGAAGAAATTACCGTATTAAAATCTTATTTTACATTTAATTGGAAATCGTTCAAGTCCACTGGTTCCCGTGCGTACGTCTTACGCATCTTCTCCCCTTGTTCCCTCAGTCCTTACCATCTCGGCAAAAGCAAAAGCAAAAGTTCACTAGTTCTCTCAGAAATGGCGCCACTTAGCATGCCCAGGAGGTGCTTCGTCAATAGGCTTTTTCAATAGTTCTTGAGAAGTATGCAAAATCAAAATCTATGTAGGCTAAATCAAAATCTCGCAGAAAATACGGAGTAGATAAAAATTGCATTGAAATTGTAGAATATCAAAAACAAATTAC